CAAATACTATGGTATGAGATAGTTGTCATCAGGGCAAATAGATGGCTGCAAGAATTAACAAATGTTATGGAAGGAGATGGTTGTTATCAGGGCAAATAGCGAGCTGCAAAAATTATCAAATGCTATGACAGGGGATGGTTGTCATCAGGACAAATAGCTGTCTGCAAGAATTATCAAATACTATGGTATGAGATGGTTGTCATCAGGGCAAATAGCTGGCTGCAAGAATTAACAAATATTATGGCAGGCTGTCATTAGGACAAATAGTTGGCATGAGCTTCCTACGAAAATGGCATTCGATAGGTTCTGAAATAGGCACGTCGGAACAAGGGCAATGCACAAGACCATGCACAAGTTGAGGGTTGTGTGGCCACTGGGTATTTTGCCAGTCAAAATGTTCCAAAAATCCTTATACTAGTATATGACAGATGCCCTCACATAAAAGCTTCCAGCTAGCGTCCAGCTGGCAGACAAAAAAGTGGCTGTAATTTAATATAGATTCCCTGTTAAAGTATTCTGGTCACAGTATCGACCAGCCTCCCTTTTTTCTCGTCCACACCTTAGACGGTGCAAGATCACAGAATTTATCATAACAGACGCGAAGTTTCATAATTTCTTTATAGCCAATAATTAAATATTAAGTTGCTAGGATTTACTAACAATGTTATGTATTATTCAAAAGGTGTATTTAGATTGTGCTTCAATAATCAAATATCTAAGAGATAATCAATGTAGTTGATCATTAAATCTAAATAACTCGTTACGTCGCATCGACAAAGGTCAGTGACGCTATGAAGGAAGTGCAAGGTCACGAAATATATTACGTCCGCAATGATAACATGAACGGAGTAGCGAGGCGCTACGATAGGCTGAAGTAACAAAGTTTTGACTCACAATCGGAAGGCAAGTCTTGCCTGAAGCCGGAAAATATATTTTATCCAACACTGTAGATTGTAAAATGGAGAGACTTGACGTTGCACACAGTAGGCTAAATTTGTGTCTTTGTTATAAAATCGACTAATTTCGAAGGCTTTTCGAAGTCAAAGACATTACGAATTCATCTAGGGACGCCTTCAGTAAATTTTTAGTTGGCAAGCAGAGTGCGTTATGGATTTTAAAGAGATACTGAATATAGACAGCCAGACTGATAAAAGAGCAAAAAACAATATAGGTAAAGAAAAAGATAGAATAACTGAGACAGATATGTGTGTATGCACACACAATCACACGCACGTTATCAACGACATATAAAGAGACAATGGTTCGTACATAGATACATATAAAGATGATAGAAAACAATATTTTCTTCCAGGCTGTTTTATTAATCATATCTCTCCAGAGAATGTAGTAAAGCCACTAAGACACAAGGGATTACTGTGTGTGAAAGAATAAGAAAAAAGAAAAACGTTTTTGAAGGGCGAGAAGAATAGAAGACTAATCAAGAAGACGGTAGAAAACGATTGACATTGAATTTCAATTTTTTAAGATCAAAATTGGGTTAAAAGGATGGAACCTGAAGAGAGTTCAACCAGCAACAAGTGCAAGAAAAAAAAAACTGTTCGTATAGAAAGTACGTTTATTTCTAGGCAATTAACCTTGCCGCCAATCTTGTACTGCACTTAAATTCATAAAATCTAGGCACTATAGCGAAGAAATCACCCGAACAATTATCATGAAAGTATTTATAAAAAAGGGCACAGGAAGGCGACATTACGATGGTAAGTAAATGACTGAAACCCAGGTGCCAGGTCAGGACCAATAATATATCTGATTCTTCTTTGAATTTTATTAAGAATCTCTAAATAGCAAAATCACCGGATGTGGCAACTATAATCAAAGCATGGACGCACAGTAGATTTAAAAAATATATAAAATAGATTCAAGAGAGAAAAATTGTCTAACACGGCAGGGTCAATCAAATATCCTAGCAGCAGATTCAGCAATTAATTCAATATAATCTTTCTACTTGCTGTCAGACAAAAATGTTAACCCGCGAAGTCGTAATTAGTCACTCATATGAAGGGTATCAGCCATACTGATAGGAGGTAGGAAAGGGTCATTTAGGTGATTAATATAGAAAATCTTCGCTTTGGAGGCCCTAAAATTAAAAAAACAAATTCTTTGCCCTATTTAACAACAGATTGTTGGACATTTTTAAGATCAGCTCCCGGTATCTGTGCCTTTTTTTATAAATACTTTCATGATAATTGTTCGGATGATTTCTTCGCGATGGTGCCTATATTTTATGAATTTAAGTGCAGTACTAGATTGCTGCAAAAATTAAGAAATAAACGTAATTTCTATACGAACAGATTTTTTTTTGCACTTGTTGCTGGTGGACTTACTATCGAGTCAGGCGTAAATGGTACTGTCATCAGTATAAATCTGAAGATGTCAACTGAAGGTCATTGCTGAAAATTAAGAATAGCATAGGTCCAAGGGACACTTGTGGGGCACTTGCATTAGTCAAAAAGATATAGAAGAGTGGCCGTACGTTTAGGACAACATTCACTCCGCGATTTGATGGGTATGACTGAATCTGTTCAAATATTCTTCCGGAAATGCCATAGCATTTAAATTTATGAAAAAGACAGGTATGCCAAATTCTGTCAAACGCTTTTGTGATGCCCAAACAAAAAACCCGAGCTTCCCTAGTCTTAGCTAAAGTTTGATAGATTATTTCAGCAATAATCGTTGATTAGAACCTCTACTAGTTTGCTAAAAAGAAGTAGATGGCTACTAGTTTCGGGGATCAGTGACGTTACGACGGAAGGGCAAGGTCAGGAAATATATTCCGTCCGCCATGATAACATGAACGGAATAACGAAAAGCTACTATAGGTTCATCTAAGTTCTTAAAGACAGGAATAACAGAGGAAGATATCCAATAAGAAGGAAAGCATGAAGCAGAGAGGTATTTATTGCACAGTTTAGAGTGAACAAGAGTCAGTTCGGAAGCACATTTATTAAGGACTATTACCGGGATACCAGCAGGTATATATGCTTTATGGGGATCCATATTAGAGATAATAGCAGAAATCATAGTAGGAGTTATATGTATATCACTCCTTTTTTTAAGCATTTCATCCCAAGAAAGGCGTGAGTGTAACTAGCACGCAAGGGGTTACAAAGAGTGAAAGTAAGAGTAAAGAAGGAGGGGTTACAGAGAGTGAAAGTCAGAGTAAAGAGGAAGGGGTTACAGAGAGTAAAAGTAAGAGTAAAGAGGGAGGGGCTACAGAGAGTGAAAGTAAGAGTAAAGAGGGAGGGGTAACAGAGAGTGAAAGTAAGAGTAAAGAGGGAGGGGTTACAGAGATTGAAAGTAAGAGTAAAGAGGGAGTGGTTACAGAGAGTGAAAGTCAGAGTAAAGAGGAAGGGGTTACAAAGAGTAAAAGTAAGAGTAAAGAGGGAGGGGTTACAGAGAGTGAAAGTAAGAGTAAAGAGGGAGGGGTTACAGAGAGTGAAAGTAAGAGTAAAGAGGGAGGGGTTACAGAGATTGAAAGTAAGAGTAAAGAGGGAGGGGTTACAGAGAGTGAAAGTCAGAGTAAAGAGGAAGGGGTTACAGAGAGTAAAAGTAAGAGTAAAGAGGGAGGGGTTACAGAGATTGAAAGTAAGAATAAAGAAGGAGGGGTTACAGAGAGTGAAAGTAAGAGTAAAGAGGGAGGGGTTACAGAGAGTGAAAGTCAGAGTAAAGAGGAAGGGGTTACAGAGAGTGAAAGTAAGAGTAAAGAGGGAGGGGTTACAGAGATTGAAAGCAAGAGTAAAGAGGAAGGGGTTACAGAGAGTGAAAGTAAGAGTAAAGACGAGTGTTTGCGGAAAGCAGATAGAGAAGGACGAAGATCAGAAGATGTCAATTGACATTACATTTGAATATTTGAAGATTATAAATATCAGGCAAGCAAAGAGGGATGGAGTTCCACTGTCGGGAAGTGCGAGAAAAGAAGTTGTTGCAATAGAATAGAAGAGGCATTTACATTTAACTGTTTCGACAGTGACAGGGTGGGGCCAAGATACAAAACTAGTAGCACGCTCAAATTCATGAAATCTGGGAACCAGTAAATTCAGTTTCGCTGACGTCCCTACTCTTCTTGAGATAATGGATATACGTATATATACAAGTTTTACATTATTTATGATTAATTACGTGTTTTTACATTTATTATTAGGTTGAGTCATAAATAATTTCCGCTTTGTTTATCAATTTTATGTTTCAAGAAATAAAGTACAATTGTATATTTATTCAGTTATATATTCAACATTATTTGAAATAAGCTGTTTCCATACGTTTTGAATAAAATTCCACAAAATCTGAGGCGAAATGTTTTCGACAAACTCAAGAATTTTGTTTTCATTCGAGAAAGTTCAAAAGCATCGAAGAATTTTGCAGTGATCATGGCGGCTGGGTTAAAACAATGCAGCCAAATTTAAAATTTATTTCCTGCGACTCTTCGTTGTAATGGAGGAGAACTATGTATTTTGTTTAATTCACTATGTCCGCGGCCATTTACATACAAAACTAAGGCGTGCCCTAAATGTCAATCTTGTAAAGCGGTTAGCCAATCCCTGTAGCAGACGCCTGCTCAGGTGTTTTTCAGCATCCACAGAGCCGACCTGTGTTTTAAGCAGCAACTAGGCTGAGCGGACCTTAAGTACCACATATAATTAAGAGTTGCATTGATCATTATATCTGGTTAACATAAACGAAAATTACTTATGTCTCAACCTGGTAAATAGATTTGATTGATTGATTCATTCATTTTTTACGGCTTACCAACCATTTGCAGGTTATTTAAAGCCAGAAAATATTTTTAGATTGCAAGATTTTTTTTTTAATTCTTTGAAGATAATAATGATTTCGTGATAGATGTCTTACTAAATAAGCCATAGCTTGTGAAGAAAAGCTGGATTCGTGCATATCCCAATGTAACGAACACAAAGAGAATTGGAACTTAACTCTCCGTTCAACAATTTCGATTATTCCATTACCCCACACGTACATCTAAGCTTACAGCACCTGGAAATCCCAAGTGGTCACCCACCTTGGTAGGGACCAGGTTCGACTTTGCTTAACTTCAGTGATCGTACGGGAATTGGTATTTCAACGTGACGTAACCATAAGCCAAATCGATTTAGAAATGACTGAAAAATCATACCACGTGTTGGCCCCAGTCTTGTATGGGAAATTGGATAGACAGAACTATTTTAGGGTGTTCGATACATTTTTGGGATATAATAGAGTAGCATAAAGTCACAGGTGAACGTGACCGAAAGTTTGAATGTATTGGCCTTGTTCAGTGAAGTAATGGATAGTGGCTCGGATTCCAGTCGAATCCATTACATTAACTGACGTGCTAATACCTTTGGAAAAAGTATGAATCCTTTTCTTCTTCCCCCAGGTATTGGTAAATAACAAGACAGATCAGGTTCTATAACCTAGGATGGCAACTGGTCTGCTGCAAAAAGAAATGGCAACCAACATCGGGAAAAAATCTGCCTCGTCATTCATGTATAACGATTGGCACATAACTGACCGATCACGCCAGATGATGTTCTCTCCCAGAAACTTTAACTAAGGTCCGCTCAGCCTAGTTGTAGTATAAAACACAAGTCGACTCTGTAGATGCTGAAAAAAAAAACACAAATATACCTAAGCAGGCGTCTGCAACACAGATGCCCTACTAGACTGACATACTTGAATACGAACGGCCAGCCATTACTATTAGTTCTTCTTTTAGACTGACAATAGGTTGTAGAGAGTATCGACCTAGCGTCTGCTGAAAAATAACAAGAAATTTAGGGGACTTCACCTGTTTACTGAATTCTCCAAGCACTGAAATGCGGGGAATAAAACAACTGAAATACGATGAAAAAAAAAGCAGGCACTAGGAACCAGGTTCTAATGAATTAATGTGTAAAAATAACACCGGGTTCATTGAAGTATTTAAACAAAATCCATGAACGTAATCGTTTTTTTTCTTTTGGCAAGAACGAATTGGTCTGATTCCGTGAGCAAGTAAATTCATGCGACTAAGAATTAAATTCAGAGATTTGAAAATCCTGATAAGAAAAAAAAACAAAAAAGATATCTGAATTCAGTTTCATAAAGGAGGGATTCTGAAAGAAAAAAGGCAACGAAAAGAATACATATATTTCAGGAACCTTCCCGATTACATCAGTTCACAGGTTGCTCACCTAATACAAGAAACAAAATCCACTCCAATCAGAGGGTTGCAGAATGAGGTTGATTTATGAACATAAGAATTATAGTATATAACCATATATAGTATAGAAAAGGTTTGATCTTAGAATGTAAATGTTAAGTTTATAGTAATCAAGATTCCTCGGGAGTCTGTTACATAAAGAAGCCGCGCTTGTGAAGGAGCTGTCTGAATTGATCGTCCTTCATACTGAATGAAGAAGGGAATGAGTATGGTTCACCACTGTGGCATTGTGGGCCTTTGCTGTAAATGTTTGAACTTGTGACACCTCGTCACAATATTTTCTATAGGATTATCGATAGAATATTGAGAATCGAAAAGTGAGAGCTAAAGCCAAATTATGGCAGCAATAATCCATTTTTGATTAGATCCAAATCTTGTTAACTTAGAGCTTGTCAGGAAGAGTCTGGTGCTTTGTGGGACGTTAAAATGTTATAGCAAGTGGGACACACTGAAAACTTTAAATTTAAAATTTAGTTACTAAAAGCGTTAAGCTATTATTGATCTATCCTGGGAAATAACAATATTAGTATAGGTATTGCTTGCTAATAACAGCATATTTCTTATCTGCCTTAAAGAATTTATCAGGTCATCCCATAAGTTCTGTCCGAATTTTAACTTTTTTTTTTTAAAAATGAACGAAATTTAAAGAGTCTTTTATAATGTCTAATGGCGCTGAACGTTATTTTATTACGTTTAGATGCATTTAAACTGATCAAATTTTATTTCAAAAAACAATAAAATTAAATTTTGTTTGATTAAAACCCTGCTAACATGGAAATACCCAAGAATCATTTGAGGCACATAATGCTTTATGAGTTCAAGAAAGGAAACTCAGAAACATTCACTCAGTTTATGGAGAGGAATGTATGAATGAAAGAACTTGCAGAAGATGGTTTGCAAAATTCAGAGGTGGCGATTCCACCCTTGAAGATGAAGATCGAACCGGACGTCCAGTTGAGTTTGATGAAAAGCTTCTTGAAGCAGTCCTTGAAGAAAATCCTGCTTTATCAGTTGAGGAATTGGCAGTGGTTTTCAGTTCAAACCATACAACTGTTCATCGTCATCTTCAACAACTTGGAAAAGTTCCTAAACTTGGAAAATGGGTGCCTTATGAATTGTCTGAAAACAACCTCAAATCCCGAGTTGACATCTGCTCTTCTCTCCATTCTCGCCAACTTGTTTCACCTTTTTTGGATAGACTTGTGACTGGCGACGAAAAATGGATCTTTTATCTAAATGTTAAGCGTCGTAGATAGTGACTTGGTAAAGGGGAAGAACCCCAGTCACAGCTGAGAAGGGAACTTCATGGGCAAAAGGATCTTCTTTCAATCTGGTGGGATCGCCAAGGAATAATTTACTTTGAATTCTTACCACTTAATGCAACAATTAATGCTCAAATATACTGTCAGCAATTAGAGCGTTTGAACCAAGCTTTGAGGAGAAAGGACCTGCTCTAGTGAATCGAAAAGAGGTGATGTTTCATCAGGACAATGCGCGACCCCACACGGCAAGAATCACATCACAAAATATCGAAGAACTTGGTTGAGAGAAAATTCCTCATCCACCTTATTCACCCGATCTTGCTCCTTCAGACTACCATTTGTTTCATAGCTTACAGAATCATTTGGAAGAAACAGCTTTTGTAACACAGGAAGAGGTTAAAACTGACATTTGTGAGTTCTTCGAATCAAAGCCAAAAGAATTTTACAGTAATGGAATTAGTAAGCTTGTTAATAGATGGAAGGAAGTCATAGATAATCAGGGAAAATACATTGTTGATTGTATCTGTAATTAAATGTAACATTTGGTCACTTGTTTTCTTTATTCAAAATTCGGACAGAACTTATGGGATGACCTGATATATTAATTTTTTTAATCATTTCAATCCCAGCAAGGCAATAAAGCCACTGAGATGCAAAGTGTTACTGAGTGTTAGAGTATATGGGAAAATATTAAAGAGAGAGAACAATAAAAGAACAGTAATTAAGAAGACAGAAGATAACGATTGACATTGCATACAGATTTTTGAAGATCAAAGTTGGCTGGAAAGCAAGAAACCAGAAGAGAGTTCCACAGACAAGAAGTGCGAAAGAAGAGACTGTCAGCACAAAACTTACAACTAGTCATTTCAACTGTAAAATGAAGAGCCAATGCCGCCAATCTAGAAGTACACTTAAATTTATAAAATATAATTAAATACTTCTGAACTCTGCCAAAGCTGGAAAGATAGGATTGGATAGCGCCAACCAAGATCTGACTACAATATGAACATATCTTAATTCAAAATACCACATGCAATGTCGTATTATACACGAATAAATGAGTTAATTAAAATTTAAAATGCTGCAAGTCAGTTTATTTGATTACAATATATTATTGAACTATATACTTAGTTCATCCGTAAGTACTGGCATTTTAACATCAAATAAACTGAAAAACTACAGACAAGTTTTTCGTCAAGGATCAAAACTCGCACTATGGATGAACAGAATTTTAATGCATATATTATGTTTTCTAGCGATGGATGTCGCCAATAATCGCATTAATACTTCTGATTAATTCTATGTGTGATTATTCTTTGTATATATATATTTATATATATTTATATATAATAATATATATATTTCGCACTGAAACCATTTAAATACGAATAATAGTTGCGTAATATATATTCTCTAATAACAAGAAATATACGAATCGCATTTATTCAACTCAAAAGATTTCAATGTGACTGTTTCGATAATTGAATCTGAATGAAAATTAATTTGAATGCAACCATGCTATTTAGTTTATTTAGCTATTTATGCTATTTAGTATTTATTAAAGTAAAGATTAGAGAATTTTTTACAGCAAAATATTATAATTAGCTATTCGACTTTCAAATAGGATATCTACAAACGTGTGCACGCGTGAAAAATAAAAGTGAAATTGTTTTCAACAGAAATTTTCAAAAGTTTATCACGCGAAGGACATCCTCGTCTCCCTCTCGCGTAACATTATTGATGTGGAAAGTAAAACCCGAGTTCGAATTTCGACGTAGTCTGAAGCGCTCACTTGCTCGCTAATTTCTTTTTGTTTTTAACTAGAATTCCCAAAAAATGAAAACGCCACCTTGTCAGTGTATTAAGGAATGACATATGAGATATGAGTGAAAAAGGCGGTGACAGCAAGTCTCCATTGGGACCTGATCTGACTCTTGTAAAGTCAAAACATTGTAGAAAGTGTTAGGTTCTTTCTCTCGAGATGAAATGGGCCGACTATATTTCCCACCCCTTTAGCAAAGGATTCCATTTATGACTGCAACTCCAGGTTTGGAATGAAGTTAAAACCTAACAGGCATGGAGCCTCAATGAGAGTAGAACCGTTCATTGTTAAAATATATAAGGCCCAAGACTCACTCGAGCTAGAGAATTACACAGTAAAAGGTAGAGTTTATGGGGATATGTAAGAGAAAATAACTGTTAACTTTAACAGGTAGACTTAAAGTCTTCAAGTCAAATTATGATGATGAAGATCATAGATAAAAATTGACCCTTGAATCGAAGATTTTAAGATTTTTTGTATTCAGGGACCCACAAAGTAGCAGTTCCAGCAGTAGCAGTTCTGTCTGATGGGATCTCTCCATGTTAGATAACAATGGATTGAGAAACCTATTTTCCTGAAAAATTGTTTTAATAGAAAAGAATGTTTCCTTATCAGAAAATGGCCCAGTTGATAAAAGCGTTGGCTGATGTAATCCAGTGACTTCACCCAAAGAGTTGAGTGAAACACCTGGCCACAGTATGAGTGAACAAAATCTTGAAGAGTTGAGTTACTAAGGGACGTAACTGAAACTGAACCTGATATATCTGGAAGAGGCATGGCACGTGAAACTAGAGCAAT